TAAGACACCTGCATCTCAAGCAATAGAGTACTTCAGGTAGCTGAGATGATGTTACAGTGGCCTGGAAGGCCAGGTGTATCATTTTAGAACTCTCAGCAGACACAAGAGGAGTACCATCTCCTCTTTATCTGCTTCCAGCCTGCTGTCTTCCTGCTTCCTGTTACCTAGGGGAGGCAAGAGGGCTCCTAGCTTGCTTTATGAAATAACAGGTGTTTAGAGATGTTATGCTACTTACCCAAAGCCTCACAAGCGCTTTGACAAAATGGAATCAGACCCAGGTCTCCTGAACTGCTAGATCACACTGTCAGAGATCACACTGTCAGGACTGTTTGGGTAGTTTGTAGCATAGAAATAAGCAAAACTGTTGTAAAATCTCAGTTATTGGAAAGCTGGCATCAAGGCTTTGCAAGCAACGTGCCCTTCATGTGAATAGAATCCATAAAACTCTATGTGCCCAAAGCTTGTTTTCTTTAGCTGTATCAGCTGATCCAGGAAAAGACTGTTTAGAAACCTTGTTCCTCTATTTTCAGACCATCACAGCTACAACAACACAGCTCGTTTGGAGAAAGTACCCACTGGAGAATTGCTCTGGGGCCAGTATGTACATTTCTGCTTCTACCTCTAAATGTTTCTCTCCTTATTCTGGGAAGGAAGTCTAGAGGCAGTTTATTACAGAAATGCCACTTAATTTTCCTTTGCTTCTTTGACACAGAAAACACGTATCTGATGGAAGTTATTTGTTTTCACTTGCCATGTGCTAAGAAAGTTTATATGCGGCGAGTATTACCAATCTAAACAACACAGGCTAATTGGTGTCCTTGTGAAAATAAAACAACATGGTTGTTTGAAGGATTGTCATGCGTTTCGGAGCACAAATGTTAAAATGTCAAAAAGATTCAATGTCTGTGATTGAACTTCCATCTATTGACTGAGTTTACAGCTATAGGAATCCCTTCTCATCTCTGCGTCATCTTCACATTTGACCTAATACGAAGAGTTGGATTCTGTGCATTTTAAAGGGTATTTTTAATAGACAAAAGGACCTTGGTGTAAAGTAATTAATGATCCTGGTCACGCGTGTGGTGATCTGTACTCAACAAAGTGAGAAAAGGCATCTGAAAAATGTTTCTTAATGCTTCAAAGGGAAGTCACAACAGCACAGATGAAGAAAATGTTGTTGGAAACAGCCACCTATAACATATGATGTACAGTGCATTAATTGCGTCCTTGTAATTTAGTACTGTGGAAGTAGTCACGTCAGCTTCTCCACAGTAACCTCCCTACCAGTTAATAGATCTGCTGTCTGCACCTTGATGACGCACGGATTAAATTTGTAGTGGTCTGAGAGCCTGGCTGCACCAATACATCATCTCTACAGCCCTGCTGGGTCTTTCGAGTGGTGCAGCACCCTACTTATGCCTATACTAATGCTGGGATAAAAATTTTCTGTTAATGTGGGCTGCTGTCACACAGAAGTGACTGCATCTTAGGTTGAGGTTATTCCCTAAGCTTGTGCTGTGTGCAGCAGGGCAAGGAAGAGGTATCTGAGTGTGAGCTCTCAGCCATTTCACTTTCTTTTGTGTCACTTGCCACAGAAACCAGCATACTTAGATCCCGTCAGCTGAAGAAGCTGAAGTGTCAGCATATGCAAGAGTTTCTTTGGCAGAATGCTTTCTCTGGAATTCCCCATGCCCCTTGGGAATGCTGGGCATTGCACATCCAATGCTGTGAGGAAGTCTATCACTGTTGTGCATGCAGAGTAAACAGCAGCAGATTTTGGTGGAATAAGCACTATACAGAATGGCCTACCTGAAGGCATGGTGCCTCAGCTAGGGATGTCTGATCAGTTCAGAACTCTAAAGTAACCATAACAAGGCTTGTGCAGCAATGGTGCTAGTCTCTGCAGATAGACCTTGCACTGTGTAAGGAGACAACAGTTCAGGTTGTCTTGCTGGCATCCTCCCAAAGCTATTTCCTAAAGGAGAATTATGACCAAAAGAATACCAGAAACGTTCTGGGAAATGCCCTGTGGTTCAGCTGGGTGTTTTGACCATTCAGTAGGCTGGCTGGAATCAGGAAAGTAGTCCATGTGAGTTTAGCTTTGAGGAAAATATATTTCTGAAGATCTTGGTTCTTGACTGCTGCAACAGGGCTCCTTGGAGGAAGCTGAGGTTCTAGCTAGAATCAGCTTCAAGAGAACTGAAGACCTTCATGTGTGCTTTCAGTTGTTTCTGAAGTTCCTTTTTGAGTTCAAGAGTGTACTTTGCTTCTAGTGGGGGCTCCAGCCCCTTCCAGAAGAACCGGGTGATTTGTGGTGGGGGGAGTGGAGGCAGAAGGCTCTGATGGTTCTCAGCAGAAGTGCATATCGCATAAGCTGCTTCCTCTCCAGCCCATCTCAGGACGCTCCTTGTTGACATATGTGTTTCCATTTACATTGCAGTATGTTTGCCAGAGGGCAATTGCTCCTTTAACCCGAACCCTTCTCTTTATGCCTTTTCTGTTTACTCATTTTAGCCCTGCTCCCTTTATCGCTGCCCATCCCTCCCTTTCTACCTCCTCCTCCTCTGATTCCGATTTCTTAATCTGCCTTCTTTTTCTACCTTTGTTTTTTGTTGCCATCTCCTTTCTTTCCCTGAATTTCTGCTCATTGTATCCCCTCTGCCCTGACAGCTTCTTTCTCTCTTTCCCCCTTGTCCATTGTCTTATTTTTACTTCACTCATGCTGAAGCTAAAGGTCATCCTCATGTGCAAAGAGGTGTCCTCTTCAGAGTGACATCTGTCCTTGATTTCATTTGATCGTATTTGAGGTCCCAGGAGCCTTGAACCTTCTCTTCTTTCCTCACAGCAGCTGAAGATACTGCTAGAGAATCCAGAGGCAGCAGGTACTCTCCCTCCAAATTTTAAAAAAACAACACCCCACAAAGATGCATACTTGAAAACAAGAAAATCTCTGGTCTATGTTTGCGCCAGTGTAGTGCAGTAGAGCAGTTACAGTTCATACCAGCTAAGGACCAAGCTCAGTACTGGGTTTCTTCTGTTGTTCAAAGAAGCAGTTTGCAATATTTTCCTGGATTGTGTATATGCATTGAGTTTGCCTTTCAGCATTTCCTATCTTCAATTACTTCTACATTGCTTGGAGCCGTTCCCTAGTCTCATATAATAATGCCTTTTGTATCTCTACTCAGCATTTCAAGCCAAATCATTGTCAGTGAGTGAACAGCGTTGCAGTGAGGCATGGCTTTTCAGAAATTTTCTAAATATATATATATGTGTGTTGGCAAATGCTACATAAATGTTATAGCTTATCCTGGCAAAACAGCACTTCTGCTGCTACAGTGGATTTCCTTAGGGAAACTGGTATAAATTATCCCAGCGGAAGCATCCTTTCTGCCAGTGGAGGAAGGTAGGCTCGGAGGGGTGCCAGCAAGCCATTACTAGCACAGCTTAGGCCTTGGAACTGGGTCGGCACTGTTTGAACTCTCATGCCAAGGAGGTTAGCATGCTTAAAATTTGAGCTAGAGCGCCTGTTTAGCTGTATGTGTGTTTTTTTCATAATGGCAATCTGCTCCTTTTTTTTTTTTTTGGTATCAAAATATCTTTAAGAAGAAAAAAAACCCATATAATCCCTTGAGCAAATCTGTGTTAAAAATAAAGGAGCAAAGACATTTGGATTGGACTGAATGGAGCAACATGCGTTTCTCTCACTCTTTTCTGCTCTGATGTCTGTGGGAACTTAGAGCTCAGTATCACCTCCTCTGTCCAAAAGACTCTTTGGTACCCACTGCTTTTGTGCCATTGTATTTAACAGCCTTTATTGCATCCATGAGGACTAAAAAGTCATGTTTTGAGGGAGCTGGAACTGTTACATCTGTACGCCCCTATAGCTGGGACATGGAGCTGGTGGCTTTGCTGAACAGAGGAGCACTTGTTGGGCAAGAATTGCTCCATGGTTATGGCTGCAGAGGTCAAAGTCATTGGCCGTGTTGGAAGGCGGGGTTTGGGATCGCGTGTCCTGGCTCTGCACTTTGCACCCCGATCTGCTTGTTGTATCAGGGTTATGTAAACCCGGAGTAGAAATAATTTGAGCCGCAGCGTACAAACCCGTTGTGCCTTAATGGGGAGGACAGCAGCATATTCACTCATCACACTTTGAAACTCAAGTTGTAATGTCATAAAAGGATATTTTTATTGTTTTCAAAGGACATAAAAGCCCTTGGAGCAAAGTCAGGAGGGTATTTTGCTGAATAAGGTCAAAGTCTGGTGTACATAAAGCAAGCATTGTACAGCTCTATAGGTTGTGTAGAATGTCAGCAAGTTACTGGAAGCCCCAACCCTGTAAACACAAGTGTGTATGCGTGAGTTTGCCTCTGTAAACACCTTCATTTGGATACAGCTGTAGTAAAGTTCTGCTCTAACTTAAGTGTTCGAAGAGTCAATGTTTTCCCAATAAAGTGGCGAGAAATCAGTATTTTGAAATCCTGAACTGACTCTAAAGAGCTGAAACATGGAATCTCCTATCAGGCTAGATTTTTCAGAACTGTGAAGTATCAGTTGAAAGGGTTTGTTTAGATGCTCTAAAGCATTTCATTTCATTTTTTTAAAATTACAGTATTATTTTGAAATAATTTAACTGCAAAATCAAACAAAAAAAGAGCACAGAAATGCTTTCTTCCTAATTTTTTTCCTTTACTTGTAAAATTTCCGTGTAAATCACCATATTTTTTGAGAAAGTCTTGACAAAATGCTTTTATGCTTTTATGACTAGCACTAATACTCATGTTAGTCAGAAAACTCTTTTCTTGAAAAAAAATAAAAATAAAAGCAAGAATTCTTTTCAAATGCTTTCTGGAGGCACTGGAGATGGTTTTCTTTAAATACTCCTTAAAATGAGTTATGTACTTTATTTAAAAAAGAATAAAATCCTCAAAATTCTTATGACTTGGATGTTTAGGGTGTACAAAATCTTTGTAGCAATTTTGTATTTTTCCTTTTTTTCTTAGATAAAGCAGTGAAATGGCACTTTTGTGGGAAAGGAGCTAACTCAGTCATGAGAAAACAGTTTTGAAGAAAAGACAACAAGCACGTGTAACTGCTTGAATTGCCTTGAGGACCAATATTTTGATCTTGAACTGGCATCCGCCCTTCCCTTGGCTTCAGCTGATGGAAGATGAGATGCATCTCTATGTACATCTATTGCTTTGCAGCTCCCTTCCTGACTCTTGCCAGAAATAGATGTTACTAAGTACATAGTGATATTTATTTAACATCTGGTACCCCACCGTGGTCCTGTTCTCCACCCAGAGAAAGGATGCCCTTAGGCACAGGTGCTCTCAGTCCAGGAGATGTCATGGTGATATGTTTTATGGCCACAGTGTTGATAGGTTGATGGCTGGACTACAATTATTTTAGTGACCTTTTCCAACCTAAATGATTCTGTGGCTGAGCTGGCACCTCCAGTGGTATAGGGTGGGCTCTGGGATGGTGTTGATAGGTTTTTTTTCTACTGCTAGCAGAGAGGGGATGCATTTTCTCCTATGAGAGCTGATGATGCTCTATGATTGCTGCATACCCCAGCACCTTGCAAGGGCATCTTGCATTTGGAACATCTTAAAACATCTTAAACAGTGGCTGCAAAGTGTGAGATACTAAATAAGACTTTCTGCACACAGAGAAGATTTAAAAATGAAGGAAAGGCAGTGTGCAGCATGACTCAGAGCAACACGCAAAAAGAACAGAGCCATAGTGTGTTTGCTTGTGCAATGGCTGCCTTTCTGCTTCTATGTTTTGCTCCCAAACCCACGTGGCACATGCTATGCAGCTCTATGCTTGAACTTTTCCTGGTTTCTTTTTAGTACTGGTGGTGTGGTGCAGCCATCACCAGCAAAGGTGCACATCTTGTTGCCCTACCAGCCCTGGGCAGTGATGTCTGGCCAGCGTAGCACATGAGATGTGAGCTCTGCCAGCTCCTCCCAAAGTGGGTGTCTGTCTAGAGGAGAAAAAAAATAGAAAAGAAGAAAAAGAAAAGGAGGAAAAAAAAAAATAGGATCAAAGTGTTAATTGTAAAACATCTCATGGTGCCAGTTGGAAATGAAAGCAGGGCGACCGGTGAAATAACCGATGGGGATGGAACTGAAGTGCATTATCCAGCAACTCATTAGAATAATGAGGAACCCACAAAGGACATGGGAGACACAAACAAGCTTTGTTGCCCTGTCATTATTTTTAGGAGCAATGTGATACCACTCAGGGCTGGGTTAATAACAGATAATTGCTTGTCTTTACTCTTGCTTTTTGCTCTCTCTTTTCTTCTTTTTCTTCCTTTTTTTTTTTTTTTTTTCTTTTCATTTCTTCCTTCCCTGAATGATTTTATGGGATGTGGACTTAGTAATGTTGTGGCAAAGTGTCATTTCCTCTTTTATTGGAATGACTCAAGTCTGCACGTTGTGGTGGAGGTCAGGATCACATTTATGAAGTTTGCATTGTGGTTAATCAGTAGGAGCAAAGAAGTTTCCTTCTCTCTTTCTCTCTCTTCATCTATCTGGGGGGAGGTAACAAACCTTCAGTAAATTTGCCTGCATTGTGTTGTTCTGATATGAGATTGCTCTTGTAATGATGTACACTGAATTAAACCACAAATCTTCTCAAATTTGAGCTGTGCTTTAGCTCTGCCCTAAGGGGAAGTATGGAACAGCATGATTGAAGATATTGGAAAAGAACTAGAAATACTGAGATTTAGTGGAGACAGTCAGGAGAAAACGTGACCAGAACAATCACGGGGAAATGGAGCTTCCCACAAAATAAACACAAATAGATGAGTGAGATTTTCATTGTGTGTCGGTGGTTTTCAAGACACTTATGTGCAGGGAAATAGAGGGAGGGTGTTTTATGCTCTTCATAAATACTCTTAGTTGGCCTGAACCCGTATAAGTTTAGGCTGAAAATACAAGCTTGGATGTTTTTATTTATTTATTTAGGTACTCCAATATCATGTCTGTGTAAGAAAGTTGAAGTCCAGGTTAGCAAAAAGCCTCTGGAAATACAGGTGTTCAAATCTGATCTGTTACACCGGTAGAAAATGTAGAATGCTATGCTAAAATATGTTAATGCCTATAAAAAACAGTATTGGTAAAGAGGCTCAGCCTAATAAAAAGGCATCAAGCAGAAAATTTTGTCATGAAATGGAAGTAAGCATCAGGTTTAACTTCATGGCTATTGATCTAGATGGGTAATGAATTTATAAGCGCCAACATGGAACAGTGAACTGTAAGGAAACATCATAAATAGTTTTTGAGACGCATCAGTGTTGTACATGGGGAGGGAGAAGACATGCAGTGTTGGGTGGAGAGGAGGTAGCTTGTATTTCTCATTCTCCTCTATCAAATAACAACTACACACTGGCCTTTGTATGGAGTACTGGTATATATTTTCAGTGACAAGCTTTAAATTGGGAAGAATGTGTTAGTGACTGATTCTTATTGATAATTCAGCTGTTCACAGTATACACGGTGTTCTGGATGTCTTGGAGGTAAAGGAGGGAGTACTGTCCATAAGTTATGCCAGGAGATTTCAGGTTGGATATTAGGAAATATCTCAAAGTGGTGATACGCTGGCACAGCTGCCCGGGAGGTGGTGGGGTCACTGTCCCTGGAGGTGTTCAAGAACAGTGGGGATGTGGCACTGAGGGATGTGGTCAGTGGGCATGGTGGGGTGGGTTGGACTGGGTGATCCCAGTGCTTTTTCCAGTCTTCATGATTCTTTGAGTTCAGGCTGTTATGTACTTAGTGGGTAGTACTGGACCTACTAGAGGCTAAATCTCCATTTGTGCTGCATGGTTGGAGAAGGAAACACCACATGTCTCAAAGGACAGTTGTGATGGGATGTTCTACCCCATGTTACGCTTCACTGTATGCTTCAGAGCAATGCTGCAGATGCTGAAGTCGTCACTGAACCATAAAATGGCCTGGGTTGAAAAGGACCACAATAATCATCTAGTTCCAACCCCTCTGCTATGTGCAGAGTTGCCAACCACCAGACCAGACTGCCCAGAGCCACATCCAGCCTGGCCTTGAATGCGTCCAGGGATGGGGCATCCACAACCTCCTTGGGCAACCTGTTCCAGTGTGTCACCCCTCTCTGTGTGAAAAACTTCCTCCTAATATCTAACCTAAACCTCCCCTATCTCAGTTTAAGACCGTTCCCCCTTGTCCTATTGCTGTCCACCCTAGTAAACAGCCGACATCAGAAGAATTGATGTGGTAGGGAGGTAATAGAGGCAATAAGGGGAAAGTTTTCTTCTGATGCAGAACAAGGAAAGTAATACTGTCTGTATATGTGTATACAGAGAGTGCCACATCATCTCCACCTTGTGAAGCTCAGCATCATCCTTGGCTGTGCTTTCTGTTTTGGGTGTCTCTGCCAATGCTGTGGGAGCCCCTGATTAGTGTGTGTGGGCTGCGGTGGCAGAGGGGGGATCGTTTGAAGGGATGCTGAGGAGAAGGAGGCAGGGAGGTATTTGTGCTAGCTGAAAGTCAACAGAACTGGTGCTGGCTTGGCTGTGTTCAGACTCCTTTGAGATAAACCATTGGTGGAGCGGAGACAGTGTTTACCTCCTGCAACCCTACAGCTTTCCTCATCCTTTTATGCCATATTTGATTTATAGAGGCACTTAGTGACCAGATGTGAGGGTACAAGCAACAGTCAGGGGGATGTTAATGTAGTCTCTTCTTGATCTGTTTCTAATGAATGCTCAATCATTTAGTCTCAGTTTCCTAGCTGTACGCTGTGAATGTGGGTTAAATCAATAACTGGTCAGCAGAGATGTTCAGAAGAAGCTTAAAAAAAAAATAGAAATTCCCGACCCATGTTCAAGTCATGTTAAGAATGGTATGAAACCATCAAAAGGAAGGAAATTAAAATTGAAAGCAATCTTAACTCCTACAATTACAAGTAGTGGGGGGTGGGTGGGCTGGAAACACAATATGTCTCAAAGTGACCTTAAGGTGATAGCAGCAGATGAGATCCAAGCTCTTAACACAGTGCCAAAGGCAGGGAACAAAATAGCTACTTTAAGACCTCCCATCCAGTTGGAGAGGCAGCCCAGCTCTCTGTAGGCACCAGTACAGCAAGCACCTGATTCTTGGTGTTGTGCTTCACAGAACAGCAAGTCATGTTTAAAGAGCTAGAAGGACTGAACTCTGGGTGTCTCTGAGATAGTGCCTCCATAGAGTGCTTATACAACTACTGAAAAATATTGAATGAAATACAAACAAGGAAAGAGAAGGAATTATTTAAGGTGAATTCTGTGCGGGATTAAGGGAGGAAACTCATGTATGGATTCAGCTGTGTAAAAGGAGAAGAAAAATCTTTTGGATTTGGGAACAGAAAAAGCAGAAGATGAATTTGAACTGGGAAACAGTGCCAAAACTATTAGCACTCTGTGCTACTCAAGGGGTCTACTCTGTGCTACATCAGGAGTGGTCTTCACACTAGTCATTCTGTAGGACCTGAAATGAGATATCAGACTTTAGGAAAAATCCAGATCATTTCCAGATCAGAGTGTGAGTGTTACAACTCTCGGATCATCCCTGGTTTTAACAAGGAATGTTTCCCTAGAACACCTGTGGGGATGCTCTGCTGGTAGATGGGCACTGGAGTGGGAGCACTAACATGGGAAGAAAACACGGTGTGGATGATATGCAGTGTACTCCGAGTAGTCAGCTAAGGGTGGTCCAAGTTTCTCCTCTTCCCCAGGAAGACAAAAAAGGAAAAAAGTTTGTGCTTTTAATAACTGAACCACCCTTGGTGGTACATGAAGGAGTGCATGCATTTTAAATTACGGGGAAAAAAAAATGGTTCACAATCTTATCCCAATCTGCAAACCCACCAAAGTATTGGGAGCCTTGAAAAGCCTCCAGCATCACGAGGTTTGCCTGTCCCAACTTTGTCTCGCTGTTTTCCTTTCCCTGCACCTCTTTGCGTCTGGAGCCCAGCTGAGAATGGAATGAGCAGCGCCGAAGGACTGTGAGAAAGACTATTTGTGTGGTAAACCCAGCACAGCCAGAAGCAGGAAGTACCAGATTTATCATGGGAAATCCTCTTGTTGTTAGATGTTTCCAGCCCACTTCTTCAGGCTTATGCTATCTCATTGCTGTGTGTAGGCCCTGATACAATGGGGATGCTCAGCGTTTGCTTAACTTCAAATGCATGAAGTTAATTAGCACCCTGTTAAATCAGCACTCTGTCACTGTGTCAGATGATCCTTGTTTACTTTGAGCTGCTTGCAGATTTCCTACATCTTGGAGAGAGAGGCTCATTTGCTCAGGGTGCGTTGGGTTCCCCATGCTCTACACTGGAAGTGTCTTCCTGAGTCCTACTCTGGTCCTGTGTCATATGAGTGGCTTAGGGGCTGAAGGCTGCCTCTTGGGAGCAGGTTCTCTGCCTTCTGTCACTGTGGCAATCCCATGGCTAGGGTTTGGGATTAGATCTTTATTGCCCCCTTCAACCCAAGTCATTCTATGATTCAGTGATTGAGGTAGGAAGGGGTGTGTTGATCATTTTCTGTGCATTTTCTCCATGCCAATTGGGATTTTATATCAACCCCTCACACCTCTAGCATTTCCCCTGCTGTAGCCAACCCTTTCATGCTGCAGGGTACCTTCTTTCTCCCGGAGGGGCCTCCATCACCACTGCACTGGGCTGAATTGTATGCTGATCAGTACTCATCAGGAGGAGTAATCCAACCAACATAGCAAGGTGTTGTAAATGATTTATAATTACTTCCTCCTGAAACCACTTGACACTTGCTGTTACTTGAAGTCTGTTTGCTGTGCTTGAATCAGGCAGAAACACATCTCCTGTTGAACATAATGGAGGGTCATTCCAGTAAGCAAAACTGTATGCACTGTTGAGAACTACTGTAGAATTTTATTGATTTAAAGTGTTTTAAGTAAAAGCAAAATTTCATGCCTGGAGATAAAGGTGCCTCATTTGTGTAATTGCAGAGTAATCTTTTTCAGTGCCCCGGATAACACCATGGTATCT